GATATTTTTGGAATGGTTTTGTTAACATAAATGGTATATCCACACATAACAATAATTCTTCAGCCTGTGTATATCCGGTACCGACAGATAACAGAAACAACAGCAGAGTTTATCTCAATAGACTCTTTGCTTTCTTCAGTGTAAGCTTCTTTTTTATCCCGCACATAAAACATAAAAGAAATGAGCTGCTAAGCCCTGCTTTTGACTCATTAATAAATTTAATGCGAGTTTTGTTGCAGTTGAATGAATTATTCTCCACCATCAGTATTTGGTTCTGCATCATTTGTATTATTTATCTTATGGTATCGCTTCAAATAATGTATCGTTTTAATTTTTACTGTGATGGTTTATTCTTTTTAAATAAGTCCTTTTTATGTGTGCCACAGTTTATACAATAAAATTAATAAAATTTAACTTACCTTTCGGAATGAATACATTTTTCAATTGAATCTCGGACTATAAAATATGAAATTTTAGATTTTATAAAAGTTTATATCGTAAATTATTACCGTCTATTACTCCTTTTTCGAGAACATCTTCAAATGCTAAGGGGTAGTTTTTTAGATGAACATACTTACCGATTGTTTATAAAAACTTTACACAAACTAAATTAAACTAACACTATAGTACACAATAAAATAACAACTATTGACTATAAATTCAAAAATGTTGTTAAGTTACACAATCATTAGTAGAAAATCACGGAAAATAAAGTTCAAAACGTACTTTTGGAAATGATTATTTTCTCTACCACATTAAAAAGTAATAGATAAAACAAGGAGCTTCGATGAAGAGAGTCGATGTCAGCGCCGCTCAGTCGGCAGGAGGCGGGACTAACGCGGTGGTAATACTTCGTGGGAATCTTGACGGAAAATATTCATTTTTACGCTACCTTATTGCAATTTTAGCAAATTACAAACTATTCCTTTATAACAAAAATTTTGAAAAAATTTATTTGAAAAATGTTACTATTTTCAAGTATACTATCATGCAAGCTAAAAAAGAACGACCAAATTCTATAATATTGAAGAAAAAAAACCCTTTTTTTGGAAAACTTTAAAAATTTTCACCATGCGTTATGTAGAATTGTTAGAAGAAGCTATGTACAAAATTTCATCCAAATATTTTCATAAATAATGTATGTTTTTTGTAATTTGCCGAGCTGTATGGTAAAGTAGCTTCTTAAGTACAAAAAGTACACTGAGCATATTCATCATTAATTTTAGGTTTTAGCCATTTGTATGTGTTAGACTACTCTTTTCGATAAGTAGATTTATACTTCAGCTTCTTCAGTGGGTGGAGCTTTAATCTTCTGGTTCTGGTCTATATTTGTATCATTTTCTTCTACTTCGTCACTCATCTTGATCTTATTATACTTTATATTAAATTTAATATATGCACATATGCATTTAAACCACAATAAGTAGTTAAAAACAGTAAAGAATGAAGTTAACACCAGATAGTCACATTCAAAGCACCAGACGCTCTTTGATGGAGAGTTTCGGTAATCACCGCTTAATGAGAGACGTCAGGTCATAGGTTTTTTTTTTGGTTTACGTGTTACATATATTTTTTTAAATACAGAAATAGAGGAGGATTGAAGATTATTAGAGAAGGGAGGAGATAGCCTGTTAAATAGAGGAAACTCCTCTGAAATAGAGGAGAGTTGGTATTCCTAGTCTAAGGCTCGTTACTGCCACCTTCTGGTTAAGCTATCTTAGGGATTATTACCACGGTTACGGCTATTTTACGCGCTCTGATTGGCTAGTAAATGGGTTTATCTATAAGATAAATTTATTTAAAAAATGGTAGTAATGGACCTTAGCCAATGAGAGCGCTTAAAACCGCTGTAACCATGGTAATTATCTATCGGTTAAATTTATCAAGAGGTGGTAAAAGTGGGCCTTAGCCAATGAGAGCGCTTAAAACCGCTGTAACCATGGTAATTATCTATCGGTTAAATTTATCAAGAGGTGGTAAAAGTGGGCCTTATTCATTTAGTTTATAATAATATAAAAATACTATAAATTGTGTGTGTTCTGTATTGCGTCTCAACACTCTGTTTTTCGACTTCGCGCGTTCGCTTGTTGTCTAATATAACATACTATAACACTTTTCATTCAAAAGTACATACAGTCCACAACAGCAGGAAACGTTTGAACGCCTGGTCGGCGGATATGTAAGTGACCAATCCGTATTTGAGGGACATTTTGCCATGCAGGAATAGCCTGCTCTGACATTATTAGTCCTCATCATCAGGCTTTCTGGGAAGTAAGTCTGCATGAGAAGCTCTAATGAAGCTCTGCTGGAGTCCGTAAAACTGCTGTCTTAAATGAGCCCAGTGGTAGTGGCGGATTTCTAGCGAAAATCTTGCGAATTCTTGCACTGCTGGGTGTGTCTTTTTCTTTCGAATATTTTTGCTGCAATTCGTTAAAGCATAAAATAAAACGACTAAGTTGATATAAAAATTATCACCTTTATTAATCAATTAATTAACAATTTCATTATTTAATTTTTTAAATCCGGAAAAATTACAATATTTTTCACGCATNAAGTTATGCATTGTCCTTTTCCCATTAATCTTATAACCGGATCAAAATGTAGATTGGCAGACATGCCAACCGATATCCATTTCGTTCGACTTTTATTTAAATAATATGTACTCTCGGAGTATAAAGGCGCTTGATTACCTTTTTGGAGATTATTTTTCACTGCTTCATTTAATACTACGTTACTTGTGAAAGGTAACTTTCCACAATTTTCTACATAATGTTGTTGATTGCTAGGAAATACGTACTCCGCTAAGTCGGAAGCCAACAAATTGATTCCATCGAACACCACATCCTTTTTTCTTTGATTATCACTTCCTAGCGACACATTTGAAGCTGATGTCTCACTACAATTACCCTCCTGTCATGTATGCGCATGACCAAAAGAAAACGTGCTCGCTACGTTTCGAGCGCGCCAACAAGTACCGTTGGGTCCGCTGCATTGTAACGTTTGCTCAAGGTTAACAGTAAATGTAATACAAAGTAAATTAGATGTAACGATTTGTGTTGTAATAATAAATGTGTTAATGTTGTTAAACTAAACGTTATTGTTCTATTTGGGACCCTCCCACTGACGAACACAACACCTCCATTTTGATGTTTCGGGCAGGTTTTTTATTTTCACCCTTTTCAAATGAATTTACAGCAGCTCTCTTAGTTGGACATTTGGGGTTCGGTCTGGTTGCCACTAAACATCAATGTTATTGTTTACATTAGTACATTATCTACTTATATTACATTTGAATTACTTACTCGTTTACGTTAAAAATCCTCTGTACTAAATGCACCAAAAATGTACACGATATTTTTAATATGTACTAAATACACAAAAACCTTACTCTGAAGCACAACACTCTGCGGTACAACTTTAACCAACGTTTGTATTTATAGCAATACATAAGGTTGTTGGTGGGGGGAGTGATGTTACCGAATATATCTATTATACATGTTCTAACACGACATTATATCGTCAGACAGAACGCATGACAAATTTATTAAGAAGCTCCTAAAAAAAATATCTGGCAGGTAGATCATGACTCTACTAACAAGTTAGTTGACCTCCTCCTCGAACCTATCTCCCCAAAAAATTGCCGATTGAAGAACCTCCTCGCATATTTTTAAATACCCGTATACCTTTACATAATAAATTAAAAAAAAATAACTCGCAGGTAAGTCATGACTCACTTATTTGTATACCTACATGTCTCAAAACCGTATACCTTTGTGTATAATAAATTAAGAGGTATATGGAAGACATTAACAGTTCGTTGAGAAACGTCGAAGGATAAACATAGTAATTGTTTTCATCTAGGTAAACAGGTTGATAAATTTTTAATAATTTCATCAAATTAACATGACCTTCATAAATAAAGATAAATTTTTAATAATTTCGTCAAAATAACATGACCTTCTCAAGTTAATGACCTCCTCCTCCCCTCATCGAATCTCCTCCGACCTCTAAAAGAATCGCCGATTCAAGAACCTCCTCTCCTCATCGAACCTCCTTTAACCCCCAAAAAATTTGCCGATTCAAGAACCTCCTCCTAGAACGCAGGTTCGAGGAGGAGGACTCTTGGCGTGGCTACATACGACGCCGCAAGAGTCGTCGTGTATGGTCCGCTTTAGATTCTACTGTCTTTGTATTTGAGGGACATTTTGTCATGCAGGAATAGCCTGCTCTGACATTATTAGTCCTCATCATTAGGCTTTCTGGGAAGTAAGTCTGCATGAGAAACTGTCAGGCCGCTTAAATGAGCCCAGTGGTAGTGGCGGATCTTTAGCGAAAATCTTGCGAATTCTTGCACTACTGGGTGTGTCTTTTTTTTCGAATATTTTTGCTGCAATTCGTTAAAGCATAAAATAAAACGACCAAATTGATATAAAAATTATCACCTTTATTAATCAATTAATTAACAATTTCATTATTTAATTTTTTAAATCCGGAAAAATTACAATATTTTTCACGCATAAAAAATGATTATAATCCGTAACCAAGAGCAAATAATAAATGTATTATAATGAGTAAATACATGAATATTGCTTATTTTCGATTGTTTCCATCAATGCAATAAATAAATTGATTAAAAACAACAATCTTAGTGAACTTAACCCAGAAAATTAAGTCACAAGCATCTTCGTTTTTAATTAAAGAAGTAATAATTATAAAAATAAAAAGGATAACTAAAACGATTAAAAAAAAAATAATTACGTTTTTAAGCACGATTAATTAATTAATTAAATCTTTTTTTTTATTAAAAATTTTTTTATATAATATGGCTCGGTTGAAAAATGAAAAAACGCAATCTTAAGTACCTAATCCCAAAGTGAAATGTTATTTGTGTCGTGGATTAATTTAATTAATTAAATTAAATAAAAAAAAATTATTTAAAAAGAAAAGTTATAAAATAAAAACGTTTTTAAAATTTTTCTTAAGGTGATTAGAGGCACAATTTTTGAGCGTTTTTGTTTATTTACAGAATAGAGAAAAAAAATATTAAGTTGGTAGCAATTAAAGTCAATAATTTTAAATTCTAACCTCAAATAATTTCAAAAAGGCGCCAAATCAATCAAATTAATCATTCCGCGGCTTCATTAAAATAAATTTTAGTAATCACAACATCCCCAGTGCTTAAAGTTTGAGTTTCGACATCAACATAACCTTCGCGTCTCGGATAATCATCACTTTTATTTACAGCAATATAAGTATTATTAACACTTAATATTTTCCCTTCGTTTAAGCATTTATTAAACGAATCTTTACAATTACAATTATTACTATTATTAAACCCATTTTCTGAGTTATTACCTTGTAAAGCAGTCGTTGAACTCAAAATAGCCTCCAATTTATCTAATTTATCGATTTTACCTAAATTATTATCGTTTAAAATTGTATCGACCATTTGCATACTTTCCGTTAAGCTAGTTGGGCCGGAAGTTCTAGGTGAGGTTACATCACTTTCGATGCTTGGATAATCATTGTCGTCATCCTCGGACGAAAACATATCCTTTTCTTGTCCTAAACTCTCTAATTTTTCTAATTTTTTAGCAACCTTCGCCGAAGATTTTAATTTCTCCTTTTCTTCGTCCGTTAATTCAACATATCTCAACAACCGAACCTCCCGATTACTTAACACAATACTTTTCGCCGGCTGTGCTAATTTAAGCTTTAATTCGCCAACTTCCGTCTCAGTTTTGCGTTGCCTCTTTTTTAATTTCACCGAATCCGGCGAAATATGCATCAAGACTTGTTCTTGACACAATTCGAGCATTAAATTTCGATTCTCCGGATAAATTGAGCGCGTTAACGGATAATAAAGCTTTTCGTGGATTAAACATAGCACATCGGCGGCTGCGTATAATATCATTTCGCGTGTTAAGGGTCTTCTTGACCAATATTTTTGATCGCGGCGATAAATATTCTTTAATTGTTCTTTAATCGGGTTCGTTGGGACCCCGTAACATTCGCACAAAGCGTTTAAAGCGACGCTTTTTGCTTTGTAAACGGGACGACCGGTTTCTTGGTATGTTAAAACGGCGTGGGCTGCTTGCGTATCGAAAACACTACGTAAAGTGATGTCGTATTGTCGGAAAAGATTTACGGAGTCGTTGCGACAATCGTGGATAATCTAAAAACATAAAATAATTATTATAGAGTATTATTATATAGATTATTACAGAATAAATCGAATGGCGAAGAGAACAAGATAATTGTTATCTGATCTAACACTGTTATACAGGTGTCCGCTGAGGTATCCGAGAAACTTTGTATATGAATTCTATAATTAATTTTAAGCACAAATGATTTTATTCACTTGTTAGAAACTGTTAAAAGAACATTCGAGAACGATTGAGAGGGTGGGGACGCGAGCAAGTGGCGTGAATAGGGATGGCAAATATAGTAAATACATCGATGTAATCTATCATAATAATATGATACATCATAAGCATTCGACGATGTACTCAATATATCGTTTAAAAAACATCGATGGGTGTATCCATGTTTTTTTAATCAATTTCCACACGTGATTCTTGGGGTCCTAACACTTCGATTTAACTGAAGTCCTTAGATTTACAGAGTACCGCAAATACCTTGTCAAATATATGGTCCAAATGCGGAAAATTTGAATATTAAGCTTTGTGGAGAATTGGTTCTTTTTATATTTAATATTAACTATGAAACCGTTATACTATCCATAGCAAGTATGGAATTTATGAGGAGGTAATTCTCAACGAAGCTTGATCTTTAAATTTTCCGCCGTTTGGATCATATTTTGTATCGCAAATATTTTTGTCATTCTTTGTAAATCTAGGGACTTTAAATTTAACACTTCGATACATTTTTAATAACTGTGATATAACAGAGGGATTCTATAAATTTATTTAAAAATTATTTATGTAATAATAAAATATAAAAATNGGGCAACAGATGCCAATGAGTTGTCAAGTTGTGCCAAAAAATGAAAATAATTACCAAGAATACATCTATACAGAGTGGTCCATTTAACGTGAGACAAGCGATTATCTCGAAAACTCATTTTACATAAAAATGAACCAAATCAAAGTTCTGTGCGAAGGGGGAAACCATATGACGATAACATTTTTGACCTTGACCTTATTTTAAAGGTCATATGAAGGTCACGATCAATTTTTTAAATGGCACCCTATGTTTTTGATTGCAAAATCTGAATCTATGGATAAAAGTAAAATAATTATAATTAATAAAAAAAATAAATTACCCTGTTGTTTTGCCAGTACGACGGCGAAACATCTTTTGTAGACAAAATCTAAATAATTTTTTTATTCAAATAGCTTTAAATATTGTTTATTTATAAAAAAAAAATGATTAAACTATGCTATTAATCAACAACAAGTATAAAATTTATAATAAATGTTCAAATATTTCGCCACCCACTTCAATACATTTATACCCTTCTACTAAAACTTTCTTTACATCTTAAAAGGTTTTCTTGGCTACTATTTCTGCGTGCATTTCTTATCCGCTCTTTCATGTTTTCTGGCGTAGTCGGTACTTCGCGGTAAACATTATCTTTAAGGACGACCCACAAACAAAATCAAAAGGTGTTAAATCAGGTGATCTGGCAGGCCAGGAAATTGGACCTCCCCTTCCAATCCGTCGCCCAGCATAATCCCGATCTAAAGCTTCACGTGCAATATGTGAAAAATGTGTTGGACACCCATCATTTTGCAGCCACATATTTTGTCTTTCTTCCCTGCTCAAATCTACAAGTAACGTTGGTAAGACGTCATCTAAAAAATTTCGGTACTTCTCCCCATTCAGCATACCATCAATAAAGTATGGACCGATCAATTTATCACCAATTATGAGTCATAATTGGTGATAAATTGTGTCATAATTTATGACACACCAAACATTAACCGACCAAGGTCGTTGATGTTCTACTTCACGCAACCATCTCGGATTTTCAACGCTCCAATAAAAGTAGACTAGAATAATAGATTATAAAAGTAAACTCATCCGAGAATAGCACGTTACCAACGAAATTGACGTCCAACCGCATTCATTCTTGTGCCCATTGACAAAATATTAATCGATTTCCAAAATCACCTCCATAAAGCTGTTGATACAATGAAATATGGTATGGGTGATACTTGTTGCGCTTTAATATTCTTAAAATTCTGGTCTTCGATATTCCGGCGTCAATTGCAAGTCGTCGAGTGCTAATTTGAGGATTTACCTCAACGCTAGCTAATACTGCAATTTCCTTTTCTTCCGTAGATACAGTTACTCGCCGAGTTTTTCTTAATTCAACATTTCCAGTGTTAGTGAAATCATTCATAACTCTATAAAAAGTACTTCTCGAAGGCGTATTTCGATCAGGAAAACGTTCTCGATACAAAGCTATACTATCAGCAACTTTTCTACCACTTTCTCCATAAATAAAAATCATTTCGACTTTTTCTGCCACACTTAGAGTATCCAGGCTTTAATGACTTAGTTTAAACGCTTTGCCTTAATGTAAAACGATGGAATGAATTCAGAATTTGTCGCCAAGCAGTTTTTATGCAAATTTAGTTTTACCTGTTACATTTTAAAACAATTCAACCAATTAAGTCTCTGAAACCGATATTCTGAAAATACCGACATAAGCAGTTCCACGAACAAGTTTTTTATGCGTTATTCTATAATCATATTGACAAACGCGGAGAAATGTCGGAACCTTTTAGACCTCTTTCCAAAGGTATTCCGACGATCCAGGTCACCCGATGTACCTCTTCTGGATTTTTTTTGTTGAGCATTCTTAAATAGTATTCTAAGAATTAAGAACTAAAGACAATGTATTGAAGCGGGTAGGAAAATGTTTAAAAATTTATAAATCTTATTTGTTCTTGCTAGATTATAAACGTTAGTTAATTGTTTCTGAAGAAGTTTCAATTTTTTTCAAAAGATGTTTTGCCGTTGTACTGGCAAAACCACACAGTAATTTTTTTAATTACTTTACTTTTATCCACAGATTCAGATTTTACAATAAAATATATAGGGTGCCATTTAAAAAATTGGTCGTGACCTTCNACGGAGTCGTTGCGACAATCGTGGATAATCTAAAAACATAAAATAATTATTATAGAGTATTATTATATAGATTATTACAGAATAAATCGAATGGCGAAGAGAACAAGATAATTGTTATCTGATCTAACAGAGTTATACAGGTGTCCGCTGAGGTATCCGAAAAACTTTGTACACTACTCTCCAAAATTATCGCACCATCTAAATTATGCATTAAGTTTAAAGGTATTTTTTTTTTTAATTAACGGATGGATTTTGATGATTCTTTCTTCACGGTATAGGTTGATTTTTAAGGAAGAAATGTGTTGATGGTTTCTGACAATTGTCAACATTTTACCCATATACGGGGTGTAAAAAGAAATTTATGTTTTTTCTTCTAATTTTGCAACACCCTGTGGAATTTATCAGAAAGAACCACTACATTCCATTTACATTTCGTTAGAATGGCAACCCTTCTCTACATTTTCGTTCAATCCTTAATCAATTCTCTCAAAATCACCTAATAACGTGAGTAGTATAGAAACGCCGATTCTAGACCGGAAATTGCACTTCCGCACCTCCGTGACGTCATCAATCCAATGTAAAAGGATAGGGAAGGGTACCAACCTAAGGCGGAGGTGAAAAAAAAAATAGGTTGGTATTGGAAAACTAACTAGATCTGGTGAATTTTTTAAAAAGTAACGCGCCACCTAGTGGCTGGTAGTGGAACTAAACCACTACCAACCAGGTAGGCTGTTACTCTTTTAAAAAGTCACCAGATCTAGTTACCAACCTATTTTTCCTCTCAAGCCTTTGGTTGACACCCCTCCCTATCCTTTTACATTGGATTGATACTAGACAAAATAAGAAAAAAATGCCAATATACATGTGGCCTCAAAGGCGTTATTTTCGATATACAGGGTAAATCAATTATTTTTTCGAATTTTGCGTTTTTCTCCAGTATCTTCTGAAATAATTGTTTCAAATTTGATACATTTATTGTCTTTTAGAATCACTATAAGAAAATATCAATATCGTCTATGGCAGTACACAGGGTGTTCATTTTTTTAGTGTCCGATCCATATACGTTCGGGAACCTTTTCTTTTTGAGTACCCTGTACAGATTCTGATATTATATTCCAACTACCTGTCCTTTTATTCGCCTTTTTGGTGTTTTGGATTATTATCGAATTTGTTGTTGAAAATAGATAAAAATCTTCATATATCCTTGGTGCGCATGAATGGCTATTTTTGTAAATAACTCGAAAACAATGACTAATTCGAAATGCAAAACACCAAACAGTTGTAGAAAATGACAGAGATTTTGAAGGTTATCAGAATGTATGCAGCTAAAAAAATAAATGGTCACCCTCAATGGTCACCTCATTTTGTCGATTACTACCATCCGTACCCCCTGAAGTATATTTGCATATCATTCATTAACACCCTGTATAGTTTGAATTAGTAACATAAGTACATAATGTACAATTTTGACTAAAACATTATTTTATATAATATTATTGTTGGTTAAGTCCATCATAACACGTTAAAAAAAGTTTTTTTAACGTGTTGACTGTGTTGCTTAACGTGTAACGATTATAATATTTAATGTTAATTTTACTTCTAATGTCTGATGTAATCTTGTTTAATTGAAAATTTTGACAAGCTCTCCGAAACTAGTAAGAGCAAATAAGTAAAAATCACCGAAGTATACGAAAACAGATTTTTCAATTTACTATTATTTTATATGCACATCCTCATCATCGTTATTATCATCAGACTCCTGATCACCATTACCTTCATCATCATCACCAAAGTAAGTATGTTGCCTTAGCATGCTTAATACAACTTCATTGAATTGGGTTTTACTTTTTTTAGTTTTTTTTNATACATATATATCTGCACTCTAGTCTTTACACTCTTTTGCTGCCTTAGTCAGCGATATATTAGATAGTATACAGGGTGAGTCAGAAAGAATGAGAAATCCGAATACCGGAGATACTAGACACCAAAGAAATTGTATATATAGAAGCAGTTGTAAACATTAAAACTTGAAGCCAACGCAACACGCGGTTTGTTTACTAACAACCTTTGTCG